TTTCCAAAATGGCTTTGGCGATTTTGGCTCTAATAGCAATCGTGCCATCAGTGTTATCGCTACAAGAAGTTGCTCCAAATTTAGACACTCTTTTCAAATGGAATTTTCTGGAATATAATTTACCCTGGGATCATGTCACCGTAAGTTAATTAGATTATAGTAGATAAATAAATAATATTGTATATTTTACTATCAATTCTATTATTTTTTAGATGAGCAAATTGAAACCTGAAAACACAGTTCCAACAGGGTTAGAGGTCGGCTGGAACCGTTTGTTTGTAGCTACGCCGCGGCTACGTCTGGGCGTAGGCGCTACGCTGAGTACATTTCCACGGAACACTCCACCGGGATCTAGCCCAGTTTTGCAGGTAAATAATAAACAAAATATAGAAAATTTAGGTTTTGCTATAACGTCGATTTTATTAGATAGTTATTATTTCGTATAAATATTGTTTTTTATATACAGGCTTATCCAGATTGGTCTTTCCACGGTGCTGCCAGAGACGAATTTGGAAATTGCACAGGCCTAGTATCAGTTTACAGGATCCGTTTGGATTCTTGTAACCGTCTATGGGTTGTGGATTCTGGTGTCACTAATTCACTAGATGATTTCCAGAGAATGTGTCCACCTAAAATTCTAATTTTTGACACTGCTACTGATACTGTCATCAGAAGCGTTGTTTTCCCACGTGAAGTTCTTCGTCCTTCATCTCTGCTTACAAATATCATTTTGGATGAAACTACATCAGATCCTGCCAATCATTGTGATGATCTGTTTGCGTACATTAGCGATACCGCAGCCCCAGGTGATAATAGATCGTTTTTACTCTTATTTTTTTTAACTGCTATAAAATGTATGTTCATTGCTAGTGCTGAGTTTTGTATGAATTGATAAATATGTATCTATTATCCAGGTTTAATAGTCTACGATGCTGGCAGAGACCTTTCCTGGCGTGTCATCCATCCATCCATGTACCCTGATCCAAATCATGCATCAGTTGAAATCCAAGGCGAAAGCTTCAGTCTTATGGACGGAGTTGTAGGATTGGCATTTGCTCCTAAATCTGGAACTTTATACTTCCAACCATTGGCGTCTGATAGATTATTTGCTGTACCTACTGCCGTGCTTAGATCAGGCCCAGTTCCTTTGGGCGGAGAATTGCAAGTTCGATTGGTGGGCAGAAAAAGCTCTCAGGGCTTGGGAATTGCTGTTGATTATGATGATGATACTGTTTACTTTAGTACAACCACTGAGACTTCATTGGCCTTGTGGAATCCGCATAGCAATCATCAGAGGTAACAGAGAAAAGAAAATTTGATAGTTGATTAAGCATTAGGTTGATACATTTTTTGCAAAATATGTATCATTATTATTAACTTAATTTGTTTTTTTTTCAGATTGTTAGCCATTGACAATAGTCGTCTCCAGTTCACGGCCGACGTCCGTCTTCCAGAAAGGGATCCTGGGTTCTTATGGGCCCTTACAACTCGTTTCCAGAAGTTCTTCTTAAGAAATGTTTCTGCTCATGAAACAAACCTGCGAATCGTCCGAATGCCAATAAAAGCAATTCAGTCCGGACCTCCAATTCCTCAATGGAGTTATTTAAATACATTGGACCACTATAGAGAAAAATACTTGGACAAAAGAGACACAAATTCCACATCCAGATATTTGTAAATTGAGTTCTGAAATTGCATTCATGTTCGGCGAATATATTTCAAGGTAAGGTTCAGATTTTAAGGTATGGTTCAGAACTGCAACATTTGAAAGCTAAGTTTGATTTCAAGGTAATTTTCGATAAATCAATTATACATAAAAAATTCTACTCATATTTTTTAAATTATTTAAAAATATCACGATGAGTAAAAAATTTAAGACAACTGCCATTGATTTATATCATACTTGTGCCTTATAGACGGGTAACTTTTTGCGCCCACATTACAATACACATAATAAAAAATTACCTTTTGCACAAATCTTTGAATATATATACTCGTATATATATATATATATATATATATATATATATATGATACATACTCATTCTATCAGTATTTTGATCATTTTCCATTTATCATTTGTATATATAACTTGATTTTCTCATTCTATCTCCTCAGCCTTATTTTTAATTTATTTCTATTATTTTTGTTTGTGTATATAATTTAAATTTAATAATATACATGTTAGTAAATTGCATGTAATTTTTATTATTTTAAATTATTTTTATTCTTATCTGTATGTAAGATATATGTTTATCAGGTTCATCTACTTTAACATAAATACGTAATCTTATACTAAAATCAATATTAGCGTTTCTAGAAAAGCCTAGATGAGTAAATTTTATATTAAGAAGATTAGGTTATTTGTAAATACTTTGTATTTTCGTATTAGTAATAATCTGTCTAATCTAAGTTGTAAAACTTAAATAAATCTTTTTTAAAATAATTATAAAATATCTTGTTAATATTTTAATGGCGTTAGGTATTTCAGAAACTTCAAAAATAGCCTCAGAATAAAATGTTCAATAATAAATATATATATATATATATATATATATATTTATATATATATATAAAATTAATTATAATATTATGTATAAAATTAAAATATATAAAATATTTTCTATATAAATATTTTCAACGCCAGATTTTGCAGTAAAATAACCTAGCTTCTTATAATATTGCACCAAAGCAGCTTCTGATAAATGATTGATCTGCAATTGAAAAAATCAATAATTTATTGCTTTAAATTAATTTAACAATAACATAGTTTGAGAATATAATATTTCAATAATATTACCATGAATTGTTCAATATGTTGTTCTTAAGATTATTGTCTCTAGCTTTTTTTATATAACTATTACTAATTTTTGTGGTTTTGTAACATTTCCTGAGAGCAGAGAGAAAATTCTAACATAATTTATTTATTAATAATTATAAATATTTTTAATTAATTTAGAAAAATAAACATATAAATGAACCGACTGGATAGAAAAAAGAACTTTCAACTGGGTTTTTAAATTAGTAATTTTAATGGTGGGTTAGATAATAAACTTATGCATATTTTGTATTAAAAAAAAAACACCACGTAATATCACAATTATTATTCTAAATTAATTCTAACCCTAATTATTATTCTAAATTAATTCTAATTCTAGAGTAGATTAGTGTGAAGAGTTTCTTGATTGTTTTTATCACAATCAACGACATGTTTTGTAATTTCAAATTAATTTATTACTCGCCTGGGATTCTGAGAAATCTTCTAGTAATTCAAGTGGCATTTCATCGATGGTGTAATTAGCAATACCACCCATTGCTTCCAAAGTTAAAGATTCCATTTCTATGGGAGTTAGGGAGCAAAGAAGCAAGCCAAGGCGGTGGGTCACGTTGGCATTCCAGGCACCAGGAAAACCGTAACAGGAAGACTTCATCGCCACGTCCAGGAGAGCCTGGTAAAATGTAACTTTGTAAAATAATGGTAAATTGTAAAGTCATTCCAAAGATATCAGTTGAAAATCGTGCTGATGAGCTATTGGTGTAGTAGATCGATCAGGCCGTTTTTTCCCAACTTGATTTTTGATGTTTTTTTATATGACTATTATGATGAAATATAAAGTTTATAGACGTAATGAACATCTTAAAATATTATAGTCCCATGAAAAGTGTTTTAATTATAAAAAATCATTAAAACTTGTAATAGTTGCTAAATCTCAATTTAGGAAGTTCGTGTTTCTTGACTCTAGGCAAAGTGCCACTTAGACATAGTTTATATTAATTATTATACTTAACTCGTTTTTGTTCAATACTGCAATGATGGACTCGGCTGAAAGCATCATTCTCTAGATTAAAAATCACTTTAGGTGATATATTTTCAAGATTATACAAAGAAAATCCGCACAGCAAACTTTTCAATTCATTTATGGCCGATGCATTAGATAATATATTATATTTGTTCTGTATATTGCCGTGGCTACATAAATAATAAATTAATAGTAATAATATTTTTATATTGATACAAAGAATTCTTTATTTGGTTACCTATTCACAATGGCAAAAGAAATAATTCCCAATTTTCTCCTATCAAAATCTAAGGTTTCTAAAATTGTCGTAAACTCAGGTCCACGTGTGGATATTAAATACAAATCACTCTCAGATATGTAAGGCAACAATGGCCCACATTTTTTTATAAACTCCTCTGATAATTCCAATACGTCTCGACCACCTAATTTTTAATTATATATAAAATTACTAAATCATGCTGACAGTTGAATAAATGCAAAAATCTAAGTATCAAACCTTTAACTTTTTCCCATATATCATTTCTCGCTTTTAGTGGCAAACTTATAAAATTAATTTCATCCAAAGTGTTGAGCAATTCCGTTTTGCTAAAATTTATAATATTACGTTCAGAAATGCCTGTTTGTTTATAACCGTAAATTATATGAAGTATGTGAAATATAATTAAAATATATTGAAGCATTTTAATTATTAGATCAAAGACTTTTTAATTTAATAAAATATGATATGATTATAAATCATAAAAAAGTTTATAAAAATATTCTTAAAATAAAAACTAAATTCGTAAAAACATTTTGTAAAATAACGTGTGGTTTTTGTTTTCCTTGTTAATCATAGTCTCTTCATATTTATAAATTAAATAGTTAAAATAATTAACTTATTTATATTTAAATTTCAAAAAGATAATGAATTTTCAAATTTCTTTATTTAAATTATTTTATAGTTTACTACTAATATTTTAATATTACATATATTACATTATACTATTTATAATACCGTATAGTTTATAATTATATAAAAGCAGCGGGTACATAATTTTTATTATAAAATTACTTAGAAAAATAAATTTTTATATTGGTTCTGTAGCATATAAAAAATATTGAAAATTATAATATATGGGTATAATAATTGAAATGCATAAGCAAAATATAATTTTTGGTTGTAAGTGGTACTAAAATAATTTTTCTGATCTGTTGTTTAGTGTAAAATATAAAATATCGTCTCTGTTTTTATATAAAAAGTATATTTACATCACACTGTCATAAAATATATATAAATTAAATTTTGATCAAAATTTTAAATACATTTGCAATAAGACCATAATAGAAAGTGTTAAAAATACTATACAAAACTATATTCAACTATTTTCATTTTTGTAACGAGATAAAGAAAAACGGAAACTGTTTATCAATTTGTTAGTTTCATTTTTATAAATTTTTTCATATTTTGTGATTCGGTGTTATTTGGTTTGTTGAGAAGACTTCTAATTTACTTTGCACAGTTCGTGCACAATGGACGATTTTCGCGAACGTGGAATGTTGACTCGGTTACTGGATTCTTGCAGTTCTAAAAAGGTAATGAAAAGGTAATTATACTAGTAAAAATAATTTAATTTTAATTATTTCTATTTTCCTTACCAAGCAAGTGAAGCAAGCCTGATGCCATTTTCCTTCTAAGGCCACGATGGCACTATCCACAATGGGTTTCTTGCAGCCGCTGCAGTTGCTCCCAAATTTATCCTGGTAATCTTTGGCGCAGTAGTTTCCTCCGTCCTTTTGGAAGAAGGATTGGCCGCTTAAGGGTTTCTTGCAGGCGGCGCAAACGAAATGTTCCTCGTGCCAATGGTGGCCTGCTGCGACGATCACTTTCTGGGAAAAAAAATTAGGTAAGTAAAAAATTTAATAACGTCTTAATTCAATTATATATAAAAAATAATTAGAATATGCAGCAGAAATCAATTGCATTCAAATCGGATAATCCGTGCGCCCGAAATCATTGTCTCCACACATAAACACACACACAGACAAACATCCACTTTTTGGAGGTATGCCTAAATGTTCAGAAATCTCTGAAACGGCTAAGGAGCTAAAAAACTAGAAAAAAGTGATAAATTTACCTCTGTAATAGGTTTACCACATCCGTGGCAAGATTTCAACATATGTTTTGTATAACAGCTTTGGCACCATGGTTTATTTTCATGGTGGTTGAAGGTGTCGCCTTGAATTGGTTTATCGCACTTATCACATTTGAAGTGTTCCGGGTGCCAAGTCTTGCCAAGTGCACTAACGATCTAAACAAAACATTTAAAAAAATATTTAAAAAAGATACTTATTTTTTATTAAATCATTTTACACACCTTTCCGTGTATTACTTCATGACAAGCGTCGCAGGATATAGCAGGTGCGGTGGCAGACTATAAATTAAAAATTATTAAATAAATAATAATATATTTTGATCAACAAAATATTACGATAAATTAATTAATAAATATTATCATTATATTTATTGTTGCTAATTAAAATGCAGTGAACGTAGACGATCGTTGCGAATTCCAAAGTGACGCGTCGTGAGAAGTAATAAAATTCGTGTTTGTGCATAAATTTATATATATTATTTATATATAGCAAATACGTAACTGAGTTTATTCGAAATACAAAAGTTGCATGTGATAATTAGGAATAAAATTGCGCCTTTAAAATTACAATAAATATTGGGGTACAGGATTTGGAAGAAAAAGCTTCTGCCGAAAAACCTTCAGTTAAATGCAAGTAATACCTTCATAGTGACATATATTTTTTACATATTATTAAATAAAATCACTTTCGTTTTCACTAAAATTTACAGGAATATCAATGTAAAAATAAAAAAAATAATGTTGGATTATAAAATGTAACATTTGAACTTCTGTATTGTTTTGAATACATAAGTTCAACTGACACATTTTATAAATCATTGACATGTCAGTATCATCAAGTTCTAAAAAGCATAAATATTTCCAAAATTTCATAAATTCTTATAAAATAATCATCACATACCATTTTCGTCTAATTACTACCGCTCTGCCAGAAGTTTGTATTTATATAATCGTTATTAATGAAAATTTTGGATGTATTTTGGTCACACTATATGCATGG